ATGGTGACAGGGAAAAAAGAGAAAAAAAATTTGTTCCATGCATGTGCATGGAATATAACCATGCCGCCGCATGGTAGGTTTTCGACGCAAATTTTCTGGTTTCCTTGTCTCGTTCATCCTCTTATATAAAGGAATCTAGGACAACTATAAAAGCAAAATTCGTCCAAAAATGAGGGTTACACCACTTTAGAGAGAAAAACTCATTGAAAAGCTAGGAGAAAGCAAAATCAAGAGATTTCTACATCGAAAATTGAAGAATTTAAGATTCATATTCAAATTTTGGGTGATATCTTTTCCTAAACAATTTTCCTGTTCTTTATTTTTATTTATGCTAGGCTAAAATTTTATTGTACTAGGAAAACGATGAACCTCGCTTTGTGAACGTTTAATTTCTTATTTTGCAATTTTGACATTAAGACATCAATATTTTATATTGAATGATTTCATGTGATTATGTGAGTATATGTGATCTATTTCATGCATTCAAAAGAATAGAATTATATTCAATGAGATATAAATCATCGTAGGGTCCCATAGGGGATAGAAATATGTCACTATGATTTACGTGAATCTCTAAGTGTTTACAAAACGTCATGCATTCTCATGTATTGCATTTGTCATAAAAATATAGTGAAATGGTATACGGAAATAAGTTCAATTTTATTCTATTGGAGAGAGATTATTGAATATGTTAGAAACATTGATTCTTTAATTAGATCGTCGTGTTGTCAAATTGTGAAACAAGGGTTAAACGTGAGCTTGCTTGGTGATTCGGGATCCTAGTACATTTTTCATACATTAATTTCTTCAAACTTTTGAATTCAAGATCATCTTCCATTTATTTATTAATCTTAATTTAAAGTGCATTTTAATCATAGTTTGGTTGTCAAAGTCAAATCATCAAATTATCTTGAGTGATATAGATTTGGTTTAGGTCTTGGTAATAGGAATCAAATTAAATCAATCATTGGGGAATATATTCAAAATTTTACAATTTTCCCTTTATTATTTGTTAACGAACCGTGCATTTGCGGTGATTTACAAAGCGAACATATTTTCGTGAACAATGGAGAAGGTCGGGTTGTTCATGGTGGTTCTGGAAGGGACAGATCGAAATCTAAGTTCAGTAATCAAATTTGTAACTACTGCAAAAAGAAGGGGCACTTAAAGAAGGACCACTACAAATTGTAAAATAAAGAAATTATGGTTGCAAGTAGATATTCAGATATTTTAGGCGAAATAGATATCGCGGAGAACGTTGTAAGTGATGGGAAACTTTTAGCTATTTCTGATATTGAGTTTAAACCGAAAGTTGATTGGATTCTTGATTCAGCATGTGTGCTTCATATGCGTGTCCTAATAAGGACTTGTTTGCTATTTATGAAACTGTTTCAAAATGTTTCGTGGTTATGAGAAACAACGGATCTTGTCGGGTTGCTGGAGTTCGTACAGTCAGACTGAAGCTTTTGGATGTGACAATTAAGACACTTGGCTAGGTTCAACACGTTCCAGATTTGAAGAAAAATCTCGTCTCATTATCTATCCTTGATTCTAAATGTTACGAGCTCTTTGGTAGAGGTGGAGTTTTGAAGGTTTGTAAGAGTGCCCAAAGTTGTATTGAAGTGACAGAAAAGGTCTCAATTATACATCTTATAGGGTCTTGCAGAATTTAGAAGAGTTAATCAGCACAAGTTCAGGATCGTGGTGGACATTCAGTTTGGTACAATGCCTTTAGGAGCTCATAAATGGTCAGATTTGAAAAATACAGTTCAGTAAAGTTTAGGATATATGGATAATGCCGCTTTGCCACCAACACCTGCGGTGCCATTGTATTCAATTGCTAAGGATGGACCTAATGGAAAAGGGTATGTGGATCCTGATTTTGTTGAGCATGCTTTAAGTGGAGTAGAAGGTGTACAATCTAGTAAGGAGCCTTCTGTAAAAGCATTTGGTATTGATTCTAATTTGAAGTGTGTTACAACCCATTTTGGTAAATTATAAAAATATTATGATTTTTTTTGGAATTTGAGGTGATTCTACAGTGTAGTACTTGGATTCATTGGAAGATGTGGAGTATTTTGTGTTTGGCTGGAGACATTAATTTTTGGTTATTGTTGAAAAAGTCAGTTCATTTCTTGATAGAATTTGTGTCAAGGTGGAGATAGTTAGAATTTGGGTGCGACTCGAATTTCTTGTTGAAATAATTGAAGAATTCTAATTGAAGTGCACGTCATGAAAAATTCAAATTTGGAATATTAATGGAGTCCTATGCCATGTTGAATTTCTATTTTGGAAGCCCATTGTGAGTTGAAATTTGTTTTGGACTCAATTTTATGGTATCATACTTCATCAACAACTCTAGTAGGTGGGTTTGGACATCTTCTACTTATTCCTTATAAATACTAGACTCTTCTATACAATTTAGTAATGTGAGAAAATAGATTACTAGAATTATATGATCCATTGTAATTTTCTCTCTTCTCCATTATTCTTGAGTCAAAAAATCTCTTAATTCATTTGCCATATTCTTGTCTTTATTATTCTTTTATTTGATCATATACTTCATTATTATTTGCCATATAACTTCATCTCAATCCGATGGTTTGTTTCACATCAATTGGTATCAGAGATATTCTAGTATCTTGATTGTTTTACAACAGAGTTATTATACAAAAATTCTATGCAGACTACACTAGAATGGAACTCCGTTGACCTCAACCAAAATAGGTACTACTGTTACCGCATGTTGGTCACGATACTTACAAATGTCATGATCTCAAAGAAAAAGTGGAGGCATTGATCAGATGAGGACATCTTAAAGAGTTCATAGCAAAACCTGATAAAGTTGCAAAGGCCCAGCCAGCTCAGCCTAATGCCCACCTACTTATTCCTTTAAACATACACAACTTGCCCAATCTAGGATAAAAATCATAATGTTGGTGAGATGAAATAAGTATGTAGAAGGTTTTTGTAGAAAACGAAAAGCAAGCACCAAATGCACAAGTCTGGCAAAATTGTGAAATAAGTTGGCCCTAGACGAAATTCAAACCTTAAAATAACCCCGAACGGAGTGGGTTTTTGAAAGAAACTTTTCAATGTGTATTAAAAGATCAGAGAGATCATATGTTATCAAAATACCAGTGGTCTGGATAAATAGCTATTGCATATTTATAGATAATGGGAGTTTAGTCAACATACTACACTAAACAACTTCAAATGGAAATCTCCGAAATATATACGTGACCTTACCCTAGGTTATTGTAGGGTTTCCCAGGTGACCCTGTCGAGGTAAAAGGATAGACCGCCTCATAGTCGAACTAGGATATTTCATATTTCAATGAAAAACTATCATAAATTTTACGATTGCTGACTTACCCTCCCGCTACAACGCAATCCTAGATAACCAATATTACACGAATTAAAGGTTGTCATCTCAATATATCATTACTGCAGGGAATTCCCAAAGTCCATTGCTGCATGAAATTCCCAACTTTGGGAAGCGTGTAGATGTTGTCAGATAATCAAATGGATACAAGATTTTATAATATTGATTTACCCAAGGCACATGTCAATATTTTGTAAAGGAAACAAGTCAACCGAGCTCTAGAACCCAAGCTGAAAAAACCTATTTTGGTCGACCTGACTCAAATATATGTAATGGTAGACATAAAAAAAGACCAGAAGATGAACACCTTTCTTTCAACGAAATTGAAGTTGATACCCATCCCAATCGAGGTGTCTAATTGGTCACCCTATCTATGGGGAGTAAATATACTAAAAACTTTTATCGACACAGGTAGCTTCATCAACATACTCTATACAAGCACCCTTAATTGGATAAGAACCTATTGTACTTCTTACAACCTCATTCAAGTCCCTTCATCGGGCCAAACGACACACTCATTACGCCTAAAAGAAAGATCAAACTAATGATAGAGGTAGGATAATCTCTCTGAAGAACTAAGGTCATGGACAAATTCATGGTGATTAGCTGCCCATCACCCTACTACGTTATCATTGGGATAGTCCCTATTCTTCGACTTGAAAGCAATCGTCTTAGTGTACCACTATTTACTGAAATTCTCCACCCTTATGAAGTGGGAGAAATCAAACTAATGGCCAGGTTTAAGACGTCAGAACCACAATGATGCTTGGCCCCTTGACACTTGAAGCGGCAATTTTGCCAACTTCAGCCATGCTTTGTAAATATTACTTTAAATTGTAATTTCATTTCAATTGTAAAAGTTTATTTTAGTTATCAAAAACGGCTATTTGTAAGTACTTATTATGGTTTCTCAACTTTTAAATGTCTATTTCTATCACATAGATTGTTTCTTACTTAAGATATTATGTGGGATAGTATTATGTGGGATAGTTGGAATTCGTCAAATTTCTTTAGTGTACGCCCTTTACACTCGTAATTATAAATTTTTTTTTCAGAACATTCAAATCTTCTATTATAAAGCTTTTTCCCCAAATTAACTCAAAAATAAGCAAAAGGTAGTCTAGTGAAAAAGATTACTACCGTATGTATCCTTTCTGTGCTAAAAGAAAAGACTTTGTCATAAGTTAACCAGTTAAAAAAAAAACCATTGTTATGTTTCAAAGACATTGGACATCATAACTATAATTTTCTTTATAAAATCAATTACTAGTCTTAAGAAAAAAGAAGAAGAAAAAATATTTAGCCCCTATTTGACATCCATTTTAATAAGTTTTTTGGATAAAATAAGTTTTGGAATAATTATTTTTTGGAGAGCGTATGATTAAAAAGTTGAATTAAATTTTAGATTTATGTATAAAGTATTTTATTATGTGAATATGTACTTGAAAATGGTTGATTTAGCGCCCGTTTGACCTTTATTATTTCATATTATAATGAGATGAATAATAATTATTTTTTGAAAAATGTGGGGTTAAAAAGAAGAATTTTTTTTAATTTACTTGTAATATTAATTTATTGAAAAATGTTTGAATGATAAGAAGATATTGAAAAATAAATGGGATTTCATTATGACAAATGGGAGCTTCAAGTATTTACTGAATGCATCCTCACTATAACAGTCTACACCTTTCACACAGCAGATCACGAAAATAGTATCAAAATCTTCACCAATTTTACTCCCGGAGGCATCGCGATTGGAGCACCGGATCTAAGGTTTCCACACAAACACTCCCGCTATCACTCCTCCAGGTTAGTTTATACTGCATAATTTTTTGCATGGAATGTACTATTTTAGATGTATAAACTATTCATATAGATAATTGAAAATGTTTTTCTTCAGTTTTTCCGTGATTTGTAGAGGAAATGGGGGATGACTACTGGAATAATCGGCAAGTACCTCTGCAACAATCTGCGGGTTCCCTAAAACGACCTCGCAGTGAATATGGTAATCAATTTATCTGCTCTTGAATTTTATTTCATTTTTTATTTTATTTTTTAAATCTGACATGTGATAAGTAGGAGCAACTGTGAAATCGATGTTATTTATGCGCCATTACTTCGGTTTAAAATTTGAATTGAATGTTATTAAGTTATACTGATCTTTACTGGAAGTTGTTTCTTCCTTTCCTGGTTTAATTTATTTACATTTTTAATTCCTTTATATTTTTCTATGGAAAACTGAGTACAAAACCAATTATGTTAATGGTTTTGACTGTTGTGATGTTCTCTTGATTAGCTATTAATATGTTGCTGTCAAGATTTTCTTGTTGTTGAGATCATTTTTAGGTGACTCTGAATGCTGTCTTTTCTGTCCAGAATTCGGCTTTAGAGTTGAACTTATGGAGGACGTCATGTGTTTAGGAAGGCTAAGCTTGCTTTTTTATGGAAGATAATAATGATAGCCTTTTCCCATACTATGAAAATTGATTCATCCATTGTTCTCAATTTGCCTTGCTCTTTTAACATTTCAGTTAGATATATTCATTACATTTATATGGGGCTTTCTATAATTGCCATAACTGAATTCCAAAATCCAATATCCAAGCGACTTCTTCAGCTTTGCTGCTCAGAGACTAGCAGGCTATTAGGAGTAATTGAATGTCAAAAAACAATCTTTTACTTCTCAGGAAAATTCTAGCAGTGACAATAACTGTGGATTTCTAATGTGGTTTTCGATTTAGTGCTCCATTTACAATATTTTGATGAAAAGTTATCTGGTATTGATGGCCAGTTCATTTGATGGGAATTCAAGAAGAAAAATAAGATGTGAATCACCTCTTTTCAAAGTGTTATAATGGAAGGGCACTGCTTGCACGATGTTCTTAATATGTATGAAATTATCATGCAGATCGAGATGAGCTTAAAATATGTATTTCATATCAGTTCTGATGATTGAAAAAGCAATTAGGTTCAAACTTTTTTTTTTTTCAAATCCAATTTGTTAAGAATTAAAACTTTGATTCGTGAGAAATTGAAATTTTTGAGAATAAATTTTGTGGCCAAAAAAGGATCATAAATTGTATTTTAAAAAGAAGTTTTGTGTGTCTCAAAATATCAGTTAGATACTTTCCTGTCATTGATGATTTTATATAGTGGTCTGCAATTATGCAAAGCTAAGGGCCTGTTCTCTTTGTCCTTTTTGACCGTTTTCTGTTTTCGATTTTCCAAAACGTCCAAAACGCGTTCTCTTTCCTATTTTCGAACACTAACTTTTAAAAACACACAAAAAAAAATTGCACTGAAAACACAAAATGATATTTTTAACGTTTTGGATGTTTTCTGTACAAAACTCGAAAAATCTCGAAAACATGCAAAACACAATGTACTGTTCCATGATAACCATTTCTTCCCACAACCTAAATCCAATCTCTTCTTCCCTCTTCTCTCTTCTCCAGAAGAGAATAGCTAGCAATCTCCTCTTCTCTGCAACCAGACACTGCTGTTGGGCCGGGGTCGGCGCCGAAGTGGGGACTGGGGAGGCGACGCTGTTGTGAACACAACGTCACGACCTACGGGAGGCGACGCTGCTGTGAACGTTCGTCTCTGCCGCCTCTCTCTTCGATGCCGGCAACGTTCGTCTCTGCCTCCTCTCTCTTTTTTCTGTAGTATTTTTTGTTTGTGCGTTTTTTGGTTGTATTGATTTTGGTTGATTTTGGTGGTGGTAGATGGTTGATGATGGTGGTAGACGCTGATGGTGGTGGTTTCTTGAAGGTGGTGGTGATGGTGTTGATTTAGGTCAATTTTGGCAGTGCAAAGAGGTTGTGGTGATGGTGTTGAGTTAGGTCGATTTTGGCAGTGCAAAGAGGAGGTGGTGGTGGTGGTGGTATTGATTTAGGTCGGGTAGGACAGTGGTTGAAGGTAGCGGAGGTGGTGTTGATTGAGGTCGATTTTGGAAGTGGTTGAGGAGGTGGTGGTGGTGGTGATTTTGGTAGTGGTTCATGGTGTTTGTGGCGGTGTTGTGGTGGTTTCTTGAAAAAACTATTATACACAAAACATTGTTTTGAGTTTCAAAGTAAACGTGTTTTCTAATTTCATATTTTCAGAAACAGTTTTCCAAAACAACAAACAGAACACATTTTCAAAAATTTCAAAACAGACACTCAAATCACAAAATACAAAACGAATTCAAAACTCAAAACAAAAAACTGAAATACAAAGAGAACGACACCTAAGTTTTTCAGTAATTCAGGTTTTTGTTGATCAGTTTTCTATTAAACTTAATTCATATTTTCTTCTCTTGTTAACATAGTGGGTATGACTCGCTGCTGGGATGCAAATATGAAGTTCATTTATAACTCTCTCATAAACATTTTAAAAGTCTTGATAGTTTTTATAATGATGCTGGTAAACAGCTTTTATTTTTCCTAAAGTAATTGCATATGTTTTACGCCTTGTACATAAATATGTATCTTTATGTCATCTCATGTTTCTGGATAATGTTTGATCAATTTGACGGAGAAAGTTCAAGAAAAAATATGATCTTTTAACATTATTCTATTAACTGTCAATACTCCCCTTTCCTTAAATTTGGTGTGGGCCATCTCAACACTTCCTTTTGGCCTTAACTGTACACCTTAGTATTCACTGTACTATTATTCTCCATAAGATGATAGCTTTCTTTTTGTGACTTCCTGGTAAGTAAATTGTCAATTCATTTTATGTTACAACCCTCTGTTGTGCTTTTCTTTCATTGGAGAGCCATAGAAGCAAGTGCAACTCAAAATTACAAGGAATATGTTGAATATGCAAAATCTACCACCAAAAATCAAATGATCATTACCTCTTGCATTCTTTATAGGATTATTTGAAGATGCAGCTTCAATGGTCTTGAGGGGAAAAATCTTCATATTTTTATAGTGCTCTTTGTTCCTTGTGTATGGTGTTATAGAACATAACATCTTCTGTTCTAAATTGAGTCCCTTAACCATTCTTTTGGGTGGGAACAAACTTTGCAATCTTTGATTTGAGAAGCGATGACCCCTTCCAGGCTTAATATTCTGATTGTAAGCATCTATTTTGCCTCTTTTAAGTTCAATTATGAATACTTAAACGTTACAATCAAGGAAGCACAGAGATACTCCTCCGGATAGGGTTTTCATTTGTGGAACTCAGACAATCTCGATTAGAGGCATGGAAACATGCTTGGTATTTCTGTCATTTTCTAATCTTGGAACTATGGGGACTTGATAGAGTCATGTTGAGACTCCTTAATTACACACTTAAGTATAGTTTTGAGGACACTCTTGGGTATCCAAATGTGATTTTGGAAATGGAAACTTGTCTTAATCATCATTCCTACTACCAGTGTATTCTTATTGCTATTATTAAAGGCCTATGGCTATTATTGTGTTGTATTCTAGGTTAATGCCTGATTCCAACCTGGCTCTCTATATCCCTATTTTTTCATTTAATGTGTCATTGAAGTTGATACCTTATGATTTTAAATGCATCTAAACCCCTTGTAGGTTTTCTGGAATCTTATTGTATCTTGTTCTCCTTTACAATTTTGCTTTTCCATCTCTGTGCCTTTATGGGGATCCTTTTTCCATTTAAGACTTCTCTGATAACTCTAACTTGATAATTCGGTTTTCACCATGTATCTCTTAGATGTCTCTGATTTTAGTTAAAGAAAAGTTTGTTCATTTATCAGTCAGATATCCCCTCTTAACTTGTTGAGATGTATTGTAGTAACCACAAAACTTTTGCACATTTTCTTCATTGATTTGTATAGAAAATGCATTTCCATAAGGCATACTTGGAAGTGGGGTTACAATGCGTACTGGAATAAACTTAAATTTCTTATTTACACAAAAAACAGATGATTGCATTTAGTTCTTTTTTGTATATAATTCTCTAATCTGCTTTGTCAACCAATGTAGATCTCCCGCCATCTAGGGTGCCAGTGGGTCATGAAATTCATTATAATTTGGCTCAGAATGATGATTATGGTGGGCCCACAATAGTGAAGGATACAAAAGCAATTGGTTCAGCATATGATCATTATCTTCTGAATTTGGTAATCCTAATACCTTCTTGCTTCGCACAGCTTTGGTTTTCCTGGGTACTAATGTGTAAACCCTGTTGTTGTTTAAGCAATTACCTTCTGAAGAAAGTACTCACTACAGCGGAATGGGGTTAGGAAGACCTGTTAGTGGTGGTGTACATGCTCTTCCAGTACACGATCCCATTGTAACAGGGCGTCATGGGACTGGTGGACCAAAGCCAACACCAAATGAAAGTGGTTTGGGTTTTGGTGTTCCACTCCCAGTAGATACAACTGTCAGACCTAGGGAAACCCTCCCTCTACCTCCAGATGCTTCCAGCACACTGTACATTGAGGGGCTTCCTCCTAACAGCACCAGAAGGGAAGTGGCTCGTATCCTTTGAGATTCCATAACAAAAAGAAAATTTTTTTCTTTTTAGAAGTACTCTTTACACTCTTCTACTAGTTACATATCATCTTGGAGCCTTTTTGTCTTCTTTAACATTTTCTCTAGATATTTTTCGTCCTTTTGTAGGGTACAGAGAAGTAAGACTTGTAAGAAAGGAATCGAAGCAAGTAAGTTGATCTCTAATATTGAAAAGTCTACAATGTTTGCCCTGCCAAGTTCAAAAATAAAATCTACTTCTATTCAGCTGGCTACCATCTTCTTGACTTCAATGTGCTCAAAAGTGAGGTTTTGTCTAATATTTTTTTTTGCAGCGTGGTGGAGATCCTCTTGTCCTTAGTTTTGTGGATTTCATAGACCCTGCATGTGCAGCAACTGCTTTAAGTGCTTTGCAAGGTGATTGCTTTCCTCTTGTTGTGTTGTTTGTAGGAATCCATGTTTATGCTTCTCTTTGGAAATTAAGATGCCTGAATATTTAGTAATCTTATGATCATTTTGATTCTGCAACTTCTGGCTATTTTTCTTTTATTCATTGAATTAACATTTGATATTATGTATGTTTTATTTAGGGTAGAGAAAATAGAAAATTATCTATGACTTTCAGATTGAAAACTATTTGGCTCTTTTGTTTCAGATATGATATTCTTTCCTATTACAAACGACGAACATTATTACTAATTTGAATCAGTAACCCGTTAACCATTGACCGTCAAACATTTTGTAGAAATTTGCACACTAAAAAAATCTTTGCTCGTTAATTGTACAGGTTATAAGATGGATGAACACGATCCAGATTCAACTCACTTGCGGCTGCAATTCTCTAAGCATCCAGGTCCTAGGTCTACCCCCGGACCTCGTGGGAGGCGATGAACGTGCTTCGTATGATGGATTATAGATGGACTGAGCGTTACGAAAAACACCGTGCGCCCTGGGGATGGATTGGGTTGCTTGACTTTATAATTACATAAGTTGTTAAACTTTATATAGCTCCCTTTTTGTGGAAAGCTGCACTAGAATCTGTCAATCTAGAAGGGAAGAGTTGAAGGTTAACTCTGTGATTATTGTCATATTTTGAGACATCTTCCTTTGCTGGAAATGAAGTAAATATTAACATTTTACTGCAATTTTTACTGCAATTTGTTGTGGACGAGATTGATTATAGGCAGGAAATATCTTGTCCACCAATGAAGTGGCAACTGGTGAGGTGGCAAGATATTTCATGTCCACTATGAGTAGAAGATCAATCATATTGATGTGAAGTAATGCGTCTCACCCTATTTTGTACTTTCAATTTGTTTGTTTATTTAAGCTTCTGTGCATTTCTCTGCTCACAGTCGAATGTCTCCAGTGATCGTTCCTTGGATGGTTAAGCNATCTTACAAATGTCACATTAAGGGTAGTTTGGACATTTGACAACAAAAAAGTGACATTTTTGAACAAATTTAGTGCACATGAAATTTTTTTGTGCATTTTCAAATTTAGTGACATTTTTGAAAATCTCCCTAAAATAAAAAGAACTAACAAAAAACAAAAGCTGGGCTTGCATGGTCAAAGCCAGGAAAACAAGCGATTTTGTGGACTTTTTTTTGTCTCCAAAGAGACATATTTCTTGGTTCATTTATTCCTTAAAAAAGTAGTACATTTCACCATCAATTGTACTACAAGTTTTGTAACACTGTTCCTGATTGATTACAGATCGCATTATTTGAAAAAAAATTATTGCCTCTCTAATCCCTCAAGTTCGAAACTGTGCGAATGGGTTGGGGTAACTTATAATCATTTCAAGTTTAATTTAATTACTACTGATTACCATCTTTAATTAATAGAAATCCATTTTTCAACAAAAAAAAAAATGCAATTTTTCGATACTGGAAGACAAGGCTAGGGGTAACGCATAAGGAGTATCATCCATCTATTGATTGTGTCGAATTTGAATTTGAATGAAATCCACCTACTATTTCAGTCTAATTAGCTCCAAGGTCTTAAATTTTTGATTGAAACGTATTCTTGTTTAGCCCTTGTTTTGTGGCCATTATTTGAGAAAAATAATATTTTCAATAGTAATTTTTAGAAGAATGTGTGGTTAAAAAGTACGAATTTTTTTTGAATTTACGAGCAAAATATTTTATAGTACGAATGCGTGGTTGAAAAATGAATATGTAGAAAAAAGAATTTTCAATTAATAGTTATCAAACGGGAGCTTAGTTAGGTTGAGCAATGCATACAAAATATAAGAAGATCTTTCTCGAAAAATTACTTTAATTTTTATTTAAAAGAGTTTCTATTTTTAGAAGCGTTTTTAAAGAGAAAGTCATAGTAGACAAACATTCTCTAAAAAATCTTTTAATTAAAAGAAACACTTTTATAAAATTATTCAAACGGATCCAAAGCAGCTTTTAGGTCTCAAAAGCTTCTTTTGATTTTTCAAAAATCACATCAAATGGATCCTTAAAAAATTATGTATTTATTAAGGTTTTTTCTTTTCGTTTACACATGGAACATTGTATATACGTTTATCAATATAAGTATAAATAAATGAAAACCAGTCCTCCTAACAAGTGAGTAAGTCCTAACAATGAATAATTTAGATTTTAGACAATTACATATGTGCCGTCTGTTTTGACTTTTGAGTAATTGCATCTTGTGGGTAATTTTTGTGCACGTGGAGACAGAGATCCGTCTCACATTTTCTGTTCCGTGTTCTCCGTCAATTTGTGTTTCGTTGTCAATGGATGATTTGAAATAATATGCAAATCAAATAGGTGTCCTTAGAAATTTGGAGTGAAGATCTTTTGACCCTAAAATCAAATCCAAAAGCGCGATAACAAAATGAAATAGGATGGTTATGTCATTATTACAGTTTATCCTTAACTTTTCTTCGTCGCATTCTTATTTTTAACATTTTATTGATCAGAAAATCTATCACTAATCATGATTTTCATTCAAAAATATTGTTAAACATGCTTTAAAATGAAGGTCAAATATTTAATTGCATTTTTTTACAGTATTAGAATTTTTCTTATTTAAAAATACAATGGGCAATTGAATCTTTTTATTTTAGAAAATTTTGAAGAGAAACCATAACTAAGAACAATTTATGTTAATTAGAGAATAAGAAAGCGATAAAAAAAAAAAAAAAAGTTTGAGACAAATGTGATAATGTGTAAAGATTATGAATCTTTCTTGCAATTAAAATGTAGTCTAATTATTAAAAACTATGGTGTGAATATATTTAGCCAATGAAATATTGTTAATAAAAACGAATTACATTTACGACCCACCTTAGTGTTTCTGAACCATCTTTATAGATTCGTAGACTATAACAATCAAAGGATAGAAACACATTTTGGAGGAATTTGATGATGAATTTCGTAGTGTTAACTATCAAAACTCGACCATCTTAAAATATCAACCATATTATAGAAAAGTAATCTAATATTAATTATTAATGTTTATTCTATCAATTCGTGAGAGACAATGTATTTAGGGATAATTGCAGTTGAGGTCCCAAACCTTTCAAATAGTGGCAGTCTTTCTCCTAACCTGTCAATCGTTGCAGCCGTCACCCCAAACTTTTCAAACCATAACAGCTGAGGCTCCAATGGACGGTTTCCATCAAATATGTCGTTAGTTGACCTAAAAAATTAATTTTGATCACATTTTAATCAATTTTAAAATGGCAAAACAGTAATTTAATATTTTTCCCATAAAATAATTAAAAAATTAAATAAAAAAGGAAAAACTATTTTCTTCACCAACCCAACCCCAACCAAAACCAAAAATCTGCCATCGACCACCATTGCCGCCAAAGCTCCCACCGCTACCACATATGCCATTTTTAACAATGCAAAAAGCTCAGATTGGTTAGACTGTCCAATTTGAAACTACGGGAAGATTATCAATGTTGCAAATGGGAATGACGGAAAAAAGGAGAAAGCAAATCCTTGATTTCCAACTAACAAAGGATAATTTGTACAGTGAATATACTGACAACTAACAAAAAAAATTCTAACATACATGATAGAACAGTCTTTTCGTTCAGTCTCCCCACAAAAACTCTACCCGGTAACCATCTATATCCAAACCCCAAAACAAATCAATTGCAATTTAACATAAATACTCGTCAACGCTCACTGTCGCCTCGGTCTCTCCAAACCGTTCCTCTCTAACCCAGATCCGCAAAAATGCTGCTGAAGTTCGACCCGTCCCAGGTAGTTGACGTTTTTGTTTGGATAACCGACGGTGAAGTTGGTTCAGCTAGTTCTCTCGCTCCAAAGGTCGATCCCCTCGATCTTTCACCCAAAAAATCGGGGAAGATATCACTAAGGAAACTGCCAAGGACTAGAAGGGCTTCCGCGTGACCATCAAGCTTACTGTCGATGGAGATGGTGATGGCGGCGACGGTGGTAGGTGGCAAAATTGATTAAAATGTGGTCAAAATTAATTTTTTGGATCAACTAACGACAATTGGATGAAAACCATCCATTGGGACCTCAGCTGTTATGATTTGAAAAGTTTGGATTGACGGCTGTAATGATTGAAAGTTAGGGAAAAGTCTGCTGCAGTTTGAAAGATTTGAAGCATTAGTTGCAATTATCCCATGTTAAGTTCATACATGCCACACTAACTCCCTAACTAGAGCAATGACGCACAGAAGATGAAGATGCGTGAGTGAATACTTAGAAGTTAATTATTTTTCTATGAAGGAAATTTTAAAAAGTATATTTTGTTCATAGGAAGTACTTTTAAAGTACCTTCGAGTACAACCAAACGTGTGATAAAATTTCTGAAATTACACTCTTTTTTGAAGAATGAGAGTTTGAATGTGATGCAATACATAATAATAATAATAATAATAATAATAATAATAATAATAATAATAATAATAATAATACATGTAAAGTCTTTACACGGCATTTTCAAGTTTCTATCATTGAAAAAAAGCTCAAAATGCCTCACCTAAAACCCTTGACTCACTTAACAACAATTAATGCTCTTTTTTGGCCCCATCAAGATTAATTTCCCCAAAGAAAATTTATTATTTTCTGAAAGTTTGAAATAAAAAAATATTAATTCAAGAAATGCCGATATGCGTCATGATCCCGGTATTTTATTGGTTGTGTTGTAATTGGTGTTGTTCGATAATAAGTAACAAACATGCTCTTCGAGCGACATTTATTTTTTTTTGTAATAAAAAGAAAATTATGTTAATATTCGAGACCATACATGTTAGTAAATGACCTAGGATTTTAGTAGTTTACATGGTTGACTCAGATCTTAAGTGTTAGCAATATGCTACCTACTAATATTTTTTTATTATGCGAATCTAAGATTAGATGACTAAGATAACATTTCTTTGTCGGTGATTAAAGAGAATTAAACTAAGCAAATCACTAAGAAAATAAGCGAATAATGCAATGCGATCTATGGTAAAGGAAAACATTGCAAAAGTATATCTTTAAATTTTGAAAGTAACTTTTATTTTTAAACTTGACACAACTTGCTAAAGCTGCTATACCGACTTTCAATAGTACATATGATAATAATATTGATTGTTAACCAAGAAATATTATATATAAAACCTAATAATATTGTTTATTATGCTAATCTAAGACGAATAGGAGAGTAAAAATTTGGTTTTGTCGGTGATTAAGTTAAATAATCAAATCCCAATAAATAAATAAAAAAAGTGAATTATCAAACACAATCTGCAGTAAAGTGGGAGGAGATTGTCCCTCCTTTACTTGATCATAGTGTCCCTCTCAAAGTCTAACAAGGTCATGTTTAGCCTGTGTTTGATTCTCATTTTTTTTTCAAATATTTTTTTTCAATTAGATTTGATAAGTGCATTTTTACATACTTATTTTACT